CGCTGCCCCTGTGTTCGGTTCAGACTCCTCCGCTCTGTCGGTGAGCGAACACCTCTGGGGAGTCTGGTTCTGCCCCTGGACTCTCGTTTGGGACTTGATCTGTCCGTGTGGGCGGGCGCTCCCACTGTCCTTCCGTGGTGGCGGCCTGGACGGAAGCGCTTGACAAGGAGCGTCTACACAGAAAGGCCTCCCTAACCTCTCAGACTCCACGGGATGCCCGTACTTCTCTTTATTGAGTTGAGACAGAATCGACACTCATTATTCTTAAGGCACGTGTGATTCCCTGTTCGGTGCCTGTGGGCCTCCTGACAGGCTTTGTGTCTTTTGGGTCGGCACCGAATTTCTGGTAACCAGAGCGGTGGCTGTTATGTGAGATACCCGTTAAGTGAGCAGAATGAGCAGCAGTGTTTGGGTTCGATAACAGGAGGGAAAGGACAGTTCTGGGACAAAGGAGAGTGAAGGCCAGGTGGCCGAGCTTCCGAGTGGAAAGGAGACAGAGCGGAGGCGTGGGCCTCATCTGAGAAATTTCATGAGAAAGGTGGCCGGGGGAGACGGAGAGGGTGGGAAACTGTTGTCGTTCACATTCTGTCAAACGGCGCGTGGCTTATTCAACTCTGTTGTCTTTCTTTTCTTTACTGATAGGTGACAACATTTTAGCGGTTCTTAAATATCTAGCGACGTCGGATGTGTTGCCTTCTTCTTCACAGTATCGCCACGGACACATGGTCTTCTTTGACGTTCTTGGCCTGTTTGTCATTGCCTACCCCTCTCGCGTCGGCTCCATAATTAACTACATGGTGGTGACGGCCGCGGTGTTGTACCTGGGCAAAAAATGGTTGCGGCCCAAACAGAAGAGTAAGTATTTTTCTCTAAAACTGCAATACTGGCCTGGGTGTAAGAATCTGCGTGAAGTTTTTCAGGAAGCCTAAAATCTTAAGGGAAAACAACATTTGATGTATATTGGAAGACGTTCGCAAATGGGTATCAGATGGACGTGCCCGTTACACTTCTGGTCTTGGGGCAGCAGGATGTTTTTGTGTACCTAATACACAGAAGCACCACAGAGGGGCTATCGAAAAGTGGTTTTGTACACACTGACTGTGAGTGAAAACTCCCGTGGAAAAGTCTCGTGCACCCATCACACCGGGCGTGAGTGTACCGACTCCAGCAAGTGTGGTTACGTTGCTTTCCTTCTCCTTAGAACGTTTCATTGTCGAAGCGGGTCTGGGCCGTGACGAGCTAACATGCGTGGGCGGCGCGGTTCAGGCCAGTTCACCCCGGTTACTTCGCCAGCCCTGCCGCTCCGGCCTTAGCTTCCGGGCACGATTTCCCGGGGAGCTCTGCCTTCCGTTCGGGCCGGTGTTTCCGTACGCAGAGCATCGCAAAGGTGGCGAAGGCTAGAGCTCTCCGCTTTCCTGGTCAGGAGTGTGTCGGAGCCGCTCCTGGCCACTTCCGTCCCCGGGTGTTTGGCGCCCACAGACTCCCCGTAAACGCTACACGGATATGATTCGTCAGTGACCTTCCCCGTTCGGGTTTGTCATAAACCTCGCCCCAGGGCCTTTTCAGTACTTTGCAGTTACAGTGCTGGATGTTTTGTTTTGCCTTGTTTTGAGTTTGCCCTTTTGACTCTACTGCTTGTGAGACTGGTTTGAGAAAGCTGGTGACGTCCACATTGTGTTCTGTCTCCAGCTGGTAACTACACGAAGGACTTCTTCTGCGGGCTCGGCATCACTCTCGTGAGCTGGTTCACCAGCCTGGTTACCGTGCTCATTATAGCGGTGTTCGTCTCTCTCATCGGACGGTCTCTCTCGTGGTATAACCACTTCTACGTGTCCGTCTGTCTGTATGGAACCGCAGCCGCAGCCAAAATAATCCTCATCCATACCCTCGCAAAAAGATTTTATTACATGGTAAGTGTTAGGCATGTTTATTGATTTTTTTTTTTTTTGTCGCCTGCAGGGATTGGAGACAGACTCTGGTGGGATTCATTGTATTTGGCCTGTGGAGGCGTCAGAAATGGTTTGGCATGATTGTAGAAGACTGGCTCCCAGAACCGTGTTCGGGTTCTGGAAGGCTGCTGCTTTGGAGGGTTTTGTTGCAGGCTTCGGTGCCGTTATCAAGCTGTGAGGCGTTTGGGTGGTTGTGACAGCAAGGCCGAATCTGCTTCGGTGTGCCCCTGTGCACTTGGGTCCCCCAGCCCTCCCCCGGCTCGCCCGTTCCTCTCGTGAGTGGCTCCGTCCTCCGCTGGGCCGTGGGTTGAGCGCCATGAGGGCCCGGCTGCCGTGCTCCTCGTCGCTGGTGCCCGGGCCCCTCGGACACAGGGCACTGACACGCAGGAAGCATGTTGCCCTGAAGCTGCACTCGGGGTGTCTCTTCCATTTCCTTCACTTTTTTTTCCCTTTTAGCCTGTGTGTTAATGCAGATTCTGACGGCACGCAGATGTGCTGTGGCAGGGGGAGGACACCTCCTAGGGGAAAAAGAGGGAAGAGTGATAGGGTTCCAGAATGATCTATGCTGATGCAGAGAATATCCCCATATTGTTACGGTTTCAGCCGTATAACGGGACTCACAGTAAACTACAATGCAAAAGTGACCCATGGTTTCTAAAGAGTTTCTAAGTGACTTAAAGGGAAAAATCTGTTAGCTCCCATATTTATTTTCAAGACAGCCAATGTGCACCTGTTCTTTCCGTTTGCCCTGCTAGGATTAGAATGCAGACAGAAGGTTAGGTAACCCGGCGTCTTTCCACAAGGATGTCTTTGGTGCTAGACCGTGGATGAACCTTGGTCTCCGTTTCAGTTGATGTTGGGCTGTGGTCTGAGGACCGCTTCCATGCCAACCTCCAGGAGAGGCCCTTTGAAGCTAGCCGTCTGTTTATGGATGAACTAATACTTGTGTCTTTGTGGCTTCCGTGTCCAAGAGATTGTGCTGTGGGACTCAAGTTCATGTGCTTATTCTTAGTGCAGTGGTATGTTACCCGGGTGTGGGGGTCGTTGTTAATGAGGCAGGGGGGCCAGAGACAGAAATGCTTACCAGTAAAGTTCCATTTACTTGGACTAATTTCAGTTGTCTGATCATGAACTTTGGGGCTGAAAGCACAGTGGAAAGGAAGACGGGTCGCATTTCACAACTATTCTCAGAGCTGCCTGGTGGGCCTGGCCGCCTGCGACGGCCCGGTGGGAAGAGATTCATAAGGACGGGACTCTTGGAGGAGCTCACAGCTTCATCTGGGGGGCTGGGGGAGACCCTCGTTCGCAGTACCTTGGGATGAGGTGAGAGAACGGCCTGTTCGGCTGGAGCGGTACGGGGCCAGGAGAGAGGAGTCGGTTTGTGGAGGTCGGAAGGCTTTGTGAACGAGGTGGTGACGTGTGAACTGGGTTTTGAAGCAGGAGCGGAAGTGCGGCAGATGGCGGTCAGAGGTGGGAGCGCCCAGGATGCATTTGGGTCACGGTCAGTAAGCTCAGCGTGGTGAACATGAGGCGGTGGCACGGTAACCGGAAGAGCAGGCCAGCGTGAAGCCGGAGCACGACCCTGAGGATCAGTGAGGCGGCCAGTAACGTTTTCTGAGTAGGATCGCGAGTGACTGTGACAGCGTAGAGACTGATGGCAGTGGGCAGGTGGCAGGGATCAGAGGTGAGAGAGGGGAGCCAGACTTGAGGGGCATCTTTGATCTCTGAGTTCAGTTACATATCTGGGTGGTACTCGGCTTGAGATCGAATCCTAAGTGCCGTTTTCCTCTAAATTATTTTTGAAGACTGTGCCTCTTCACGCTGCGTTGTACGTCTAAGTGCAGCAGTGATAGCCTTTCGTTTCTGAGCGGGTTTGTCGAGAGAACTTGAACAGGTTTTGAAAACTCGTGACCGAAGCGGTCTTGAGCTCTCGAAGTAACCCACGTGCCAATTTTGGGGTTTTTGCGCTGCAGTGGTAACTTTGTTGGTCATGTTAATGGAATCCCCGGTGCAGACGTTCACAGGTATGAAGCTCTTGCGGCAGCTTTCTTCTGAGGCGCTCGGGGTGCTTCACGGGACTCCTCAGACCTCAAAGCCCAGAAATACAGATCACATTTCTGAACGTGAAGGCACCAGGAAGTCAGGGCGGGGCCGAGCTGCACCACAAGGCCAGTTAGAGGAGGAAGAGACATGGGAACCCAGCCAGACCCCAGAGGGCCAGGTCCCCGAAGGGCCTGCAGTTTTCCAGGCGTGCTGCTGGTGGCGCTGGTCTTCGCAGGTCCCTTCTCGCCTTTGGAAGCTGCAAAACTAGAAAAGCCTACAGGGGTGTATGTTTTTAGGAGAGCCCTTCCTAAATCTATTTTAGGGAATTTCCAAAGGTTCCTTTTAGCCCAGTGGAAGAAAAGCACAGATTGCCTACGAGTAATGATATCTTGTTTTGCTCTTAAGTGTTTATTTTTGAGAGAGAGAGGGGAAGGGAGAGCGCTAGTTGGGGAGAGATGGAGATCAGGGGACAAAGGATCTGGAGCAGGCTCCACGCTGACAACAGAGAGCCTAATGTGGGGCTTGAACCCGCGAACCGTGAGATCATGACCTGAGCCGAAACCAGCCAAGAGTTGGAAGCTTAACCGACTGAGCCACCCAGACACCCCACGAGTAATGTTTTTACCCCATCTTCCTAAATGCCCCTTTCCTGTGCAGCAATTTAAATCCGTTACGTCATGACAGGAGGTGGTGTTTACTTGAAGTTTAAAATGCTCTTTAAAACAAAATAACTCTTTTGAGGGATGGAAATTTTATCACAATATTAGATCTTTATGAATGCCCATGAATGAGATTACTGGTATATCTCTCTTTCTTTCAGAATGCCAGCGACCGGTATCTGGGAGAAGTGTTCTTTGACATCTCGCTGTTTGTGCACTGTGTTTCCCTTACGGCTCTCACGTCTCAAGGACTTTGCTCGGCCTTCATTAGTGCGGTCTGGGTGGCGTTTCCCTTGCTCACAAAGTTTTGCACGCGCAAAGACTTTAAGCAGCATGGTAGGGTATATTGGGTTTTTATGCAAATGGGAAAATACCTTAAAATGAATAAGACAGGACTTGCGGGAATTGTTTCTTTTTTTGGTCTTTTGGGCTAGGGTTTCAAGATTCTTGCTGTGTTGTGTTTTGGGTTTTTTTGTTTGTTTTTTTTAAATTTTCAGATCACACGGATGTTTATTTTCTACCTTATACCCCATCCCATTCTCACATTTATGAATGCATGATGTATTACCTACGTTCCATTTCATTCTTACTTGTATTTTAACGTCCCTGAGTGAAATGTTCTGTGTGAGGTACAGCAGTGCTATGCAAATCTGTGTCTCGCTGTGGAATTTCAAAGATGTGTGATTCCTTTCTCTTTTTCCCTAGGTGCCCAAGGAAAATTTATTGCCTTGTACCTCTCGGGGATGTTTGTTCCTTATCTTTACGCACTGTACCTCATCTGGGCAGTGTTCGAGATGTTTACCCCCATCCTTGGGAGGAGCGGTACAGAAATCCCACCTGACGTTGTGCTGGCTTCCATTTTGGCTGGTTGTACGATGATCCTGTCTTCCTATTTTGTAAGGAAATGACATTTAAAAAATAGTTCTTCCTGTATGCTTTATATGAATATGTGAGGAGTTTAGCCACAGTCGATTCTGTGAAATTGTGTTGCTTATACTTGGAAACACTTAAGCAAAAGAAACAGTCACGTGTGTGCAGAAAGTAGGTTTGGTGTGGTAAGAAGATGGGAAATGGGGTTTTAGTTTTGCGTCCTGGTCCTCCCGAGTCCTCTGGTCGTACCTCTCCTCACAGCCTTCAAACCAGCTGAACGTGAATTTGGAGAACGCACACCAGGTGAGAACTGGTAGAGATTGCTTGGTGGTGGATCTTTGGAACGATTCCTAATTGGAGGCAAAGGTTAATAGATACGTGGTGGTATTATTAGTGTTTTTAGAGCTGGCGGAGGAAGACTGGTTCTGATGAGGCTCCTTCCGTTACCGTTCAGCCTCCTGGCTGCTGGGGCCGCAGAGTTCGTGACAGAGCCCCTCTCCTCGGGTGGCGGACACGTATGATGCAGAGCGTCACAGGCCTTGTCATTCTGGTGTCGGCGTTCTGCCCTTACAGGGACAGTCCTGCCTTTGCCCTCCCTGCAGCTGTCCAGAGAGAAGGCAGACCCCACGCGGACCCCCCTGTGTTAGAGCGGGCTCTGGGCAAGCTCTGCCCTCGGCACGGCGTCCGTACTCTCCAGGACTCCGGTCTGGCCCCGCTGGTGGAGTCAGGCGTCTGTGTTGTGGCTCTTTCCATTGGAATTGGGAAGAATAGGAAGCAACTACTGAACGCCCATAGGCACACTGCAGGATTTGCAGCTAGGGGACCACACAGAAGAGTAGTTGTGACTTTATTATAGTGCTTTCCTCCACGGAGATGACGGTGGGCCTTTCCACACCCATTCAGTAAAGGACATCTCATGGAGGTCAGGATTGAGAGCACGTAAGAATACCACGTGCGTGGCCCGCACCATCCACGGAAGTCTCTTCAGGAGGCCGTAAAGAGTTGTACGCATCTAGCCTGTGCATCTAGCCCAGGAGAGTGCTTCTTCTGCACACTGTTGCTTGCGCTCAGCTGAAAGAAGTTTGAGTGTTCCAGCCATTGTGCCTGTAATACAATCATCACGTCCTTACTGGCATTTTCGGGGGGTGGATGGATGGAAAATTCTAAACTGTTCTTTGTGGTTTGCAGGGTTTACTTCCTTTGGTTTTAATATTAAGCCTTTAAATTCTCTGTACGTGTTAGTGGATGGTTTTGCTGCTGTGAAGGTGAACGGAGTTGGTGGGGTTTCATCATACGCAGATGAGGTTCTGATCCAGAATCAGCTCAGTTGGAAACTGGGTCCCCAGTGTATTTAAATCAGGGCCAGTGGATGAAGGCTCATAGGAGATGATCAAAATATGGGGCATTTCAGTTCTGTCCCACGTGGAACTGGACAAAATAAACCCTGAAATCTTCACTGTGGAGACTGAAAATGACTCCAAAGTGAGGAAATCTTAGCAAGCATAGGGAGAGGATTAAAGTATATCACCTGCTAGGTTAGATTTTACTAGGAAAACCTCAGGAGAACGCCTGCTGGAATACCCGGAAACCTCGTTTAGTTTTCATCATCACGTGAAGCGGCCGCGTGGCTCTTGGACACTGGTGGCGTCAGTCATGATTCCATGTTGACGTGTAGCGGTCGCAGTGGCTGAGGCAGAGGCGGCCTGCACTCCTCGGATCGTGGAGAACTGAATCGGAATGCGGATTTCAGAAAGCGTTCCTTTCAGTCCTTGGGGGTTTATAGTATATTTGCCAGGAAGCAGGCACTCTCCTGTCTGGCAGTGGGGTAGCAGGTGTCCCGGGTGGTGCTCAGTGACATCAGGACCCTCACGAGGAACGAGACAGGTCACACGTGCGCACGCCGCGCAGACCCTTCCCGCGCTTCTCTTCGTTTTATTTTGCACCCATTTCAGAACCTAGAGTGATGGAAGATGGGACATTTAAGGCAGAAATAAAAGTGAAATTTAAGAGAGCGGGATGCAAACACAGGCCCCCCTCCTCCTCTTCTGCTCTGGGACTGCATTTCACTCACCCCCGTTACCAAACCGCGTCCAGAAAATGCGGGACAGGGCAGAAGATGAGCCTCACGGTTTGGAGAAGAGGGAATGGATGTACAGACTGTAGCCTCCATGGAGGTTTGAGGACAGCTGTGGGTAGGAGCTGGGTGGAGGTGGCAGGAAGCACAGCATGTGGTGGGGAGGTTGTATCTTGTCCCGAGAGACTCTGCACCAGGACTTGGCAGGGTATTTGACACCGTGCTGAGGAGCCACATGTTAAAGGACCATGACTGTTAGGACAGAGAGGGACAGACAGGGTTACAGATTGTGTTTTGCTAACTCACTGTCCCCCCACCACCCCAGCTCCTTGGGTGCTCTCTTGTTTCTGTGCTTGCTGTGTGAAAACGTAAGGTCTTGGGGCGCCTGGGTGGCTCAGTCGGTTGAGTGTCCGACTTCGGCTCAGGTCATGATCTCACGGCTCATGAGTCTGAGCCCCGCGTTGGGCTCTATGCTGACAGCTCGGAGCCTGGAGCCTGCTTGGGATCCTGTGCCTCCCTCTCTCTCTGCCCCAACCCACTCACATTCTGTTTATGTCTCTCTCAAAAGTAAATAAACATTAAAAAAAATTTTTTTTTCTTAAAAAGAAAATGTAAGGTCTTAGTCCTGAGACCAGTACTATTTTGCTGGATGTTACCCCGGATGAGATACTGGGGCACTGTAGGTACAAAACCTAATTTTATGTAGCAGAGGACATGGCTGGTTGTGGATGTTTGCCTGATTTTTCACATTCATGTTCTTAACTCTTATCAAGCCTGGAGGGTGAGTGGAAGGGGGAGCAGGGATTGGATCAGTGTGGCTCCTTCCGAACCCCTAAGGGATCTGTAGACATCTTTTATTTCAATGATTTCGTTACCATTAAAAAGCTCGTAGAAGCATATATAGGATGTTCTAGATGCCCACCTTGGGACCGAGCCACTTGCTTTTCCTGCCCAAGTTCAGATCTGCTGTTTTAGACGGCGTTGGCTCTGGTTACTGAGCACCCAAGGGGACCGTGTTACTTTGTGCTACAGATTTTCCTTATGTGCAGGCCCACGGGTAGAGTCTTGAAGGTACATCTAAATGCAAATTTAAGCCGGCACGTTGGCACGTTACAAAAGCATTCGGAGTGGAACTTGAGTTTTGTTGAAATGGGCTTGCTTATGCTTAAAATCCCACCTCCAGTTGTTTCATAAAAACGTGATGTCATGATGTTTGGTAGATAATTGGGGTCTACTGTGCAGTGGTTAACTAGGGGCGTCGAGAGGATCAGAGGTAAAGCGAGGGCACGGTTTGACCGGCGTTGGGTCTCCATCCTGGTTCTTTGCCGACCACACCGAGACCCTGACTGTTTCCTTGCCCCTCTCGCTGGCTGGTTGCCTGTCGCAGGCACCATTGTGGCGGGTGGGGGCGGCCCTGGTCTCTGCAGCCGCCGCCCATGATGGAAGCCCCCCCCCCCGCCCCCGGAAGTCGAGCCTGCTCGCGGGCACTTGCGGGGAGCCGGCCGCGCCGACGAGTGCTCTTCACGGCTGGTCGGGTGACCCCGGTTCCCAAGTGAAGGGCAGCTTCAAAGCACCTCTCTGCCGACGGTAATTTTTCCTTTTCTGCGTTTTGTGTTTTAGATTAACTTCATCTACCTTTCCAGAAGCACGAAGAGAACCATGCTGAGTTTAACTGTGGTGTGTGTGGTTACATTTCTCCTCGTTTGCAGCGGGGCGTTTTTCCCATACAGCTCGCATCCCGCCAGTCCGAAGCCAAAGAGGGTGTTTCTGCAGGTGAGCGCAGTTTCGCGTGAGCGCTGTGGTTCTGGAGGGGAAAGCCTCGTGTGTGCCGCGCCGGTCAACAGGAAAACCGACAGACTTCCCTGCTGTTGACCCATTTGGTTGCACTCGGCCACTCTGGGTAAGGCGGTGAGGGAAAGGCTGACCACCAAGAGGCTCTCTTCTCAGCAACACCCTTCTCCCAAGAGACCGAACTGGAAATGTCCGCTCGTTCTGTCACTGTTCATGCGCTGCAAGTGCACCTGCCCAGAAAAACAAGAGCAGATGTGTGGGGTGACGAGTTCTCAGAAGTACACACTGTAAACCTGTCTGCAGGCTGAGCAAAAGTGTGAATTCCACTGGCAAAATAAAAGATATTTTAAAACGCCAGTAAAAGTGCTCTTAGGTAGCATTGAAGGTACGGTGTCATAATGAAAGTATAATAGCTCAGGGACGAAGAACGAGATTTGGAACTGTCTGAGATTTTAGGTTTGTCTGCAGACGTTTTAGAGTTGGTACTATAAAGCAGGAGAAAGAACCAAGTTGCCTTATGTATAGTCATGTTCTGCCTTAGAGGTTGCAAGAGGCAAACAAGAGCCAACTTCAGGGCTCACCTGGCTGTCTCAGCCGGTGGAGCAAGCGTCTCCTGGGTCTCGGGGTCAGAGTTCGAGCCCCACGTTGGACGTAGAGCTTCCTTTAAAAGACAAATCTTAAAACCAAAAAAAGCCAAGTGATAATCTATGTAACTATTCGGGGACTTGAATAAGTTAATAGTAACATTTGAATGTAAATAGTGGGGAGGAGATACTGAAAAAGGGCCAAATATTCCTTGTTTATCGTCCTGGAGGACACAGCCACACGCTTTCTTTCTGTGACTACAATTTGCAAAACCTTTAGTGAAGAACAGCTACTTTTCAGATTGTGTGCCTTCAGTGACTTGCCACATTTTTATAATTACATCAGTAGTATTTAGAAAAAGCTACATTTTTATTTTTAAAACCCCCTGTTCTCATTTGTTTGGGGTTTTCTTCTTCCCCGGTGCCGGAAGTTGGCAGACTTTTCCCCAGAGGGGCCAGGTAATAAATACTTCAGGCTCTGCCAGCCGTACAAGTCCGTGGCCCGGCACGGCGCAGTGGTCACACACGTGCTTGAACGAGCGAGGGTGGCTGCGTTCCAGTGAAGCCGCTCATGAGCTGGCGGTGGGCCGTGTGGCCCCACGCAGCCCTTTCTCCTCCAGTTTGACACTCTTTCTGCAGTGAAGCTGTTCGAGATAGGCCCAAGTCTGACATCTAGTGGTGACAACGGGAATTAGCCTCAGGTCACAGGGAAGGGTGTGTGTGTGTGTGTGTGTGTGTGTGTGTGTGTGTGTGTGTGTTTTAGGATGCGTTTGTTTGTGGCCTTTATCTAAATGCAGTTCTAGTGTCCGTGTCTCTTAACTCTGAAATAGGTTTTCAAAAACATGTTAATGAAACTTAAATATGTATTTGTAAGGAATAATGAAACTGTATCTGTATATTGATCGTCGAGTGTGAAAGAAAGAACATTAAGCAGCACCTCATAAAACCCGCGTGTGCCCTTCCTCCCGGTTCTCCCCCCTCCCCACCTGCTAGGATGTACTCATTCGCGATCTTGAAGTTTAGGATTAATCATTACGTTATTTTTCTTTGCCACGTATGTGTGAATCCCTAAACCAGAAGATACCATCTGCCTCTTTGTGAACTTCTGAGAAGGCCGTGCCTAACTATGCATTTGTGACTTGCTGCTGTTTGCCGGCAGCATGTGAGAAGCTTGCACGTTGCTGTGTGTCACGGTGGTGCGGGAGACTCCCGGGGGGGGCACCCCCCTTTATCTGGCCATTCTGCCATTGGTGGGTGTTGGGGTGGTTTGCAGCATTCGCTGGTATGGGCAGTGCCGAATCAGAGCTCTTGAACCTTCAGGAGTTTCTCTGAGTACACGTTCCGGAGTGGAATTGCTGGCTCGAAGGCTGCGTGCACGTTGGGGGGACACCAAGCAGTTTCCTGAAGCGGCCGTGCCAGCCCACGCCTCCCGCGGCAGTGAGGGAGGGTCCCTGTGACTCTGCAGCCACGCCAGTTCTTGCTGTTGTGGATGTCCTCTGTCTGTCCCTCCGGATGGGGGATGTGGGCGAGGGGATTCGAGTAGTATTCTCATCGGTCGGTTCTTTCCAGCACATGACTAGAACCTTTCATGACCTGGATGGAAACGTAGTCAAACGGGACTCTGGGATCTGGATCAATGGGTTTGATTACACTGGAATGTCTCACATAACACCTCATATTCCGGAGATCAACGAGAGCATCCGAGCTCACTGTGAGGAGAACGCACCCCTCTGTGGTTTCCCGTGGTACCTCCCGGTGCACTTTCTGATCAGGTGGGTTCACTCCTGTGCTGCTTTAGTCGGGGGGTCAGTTCTCAGGTCCCGTCGCTATGCGAGTACTTCATTACTGCAGCTGGTGAACAGAGGTCAAGTGCCAGGTACGCTGTTTCCTGTCACTGCACAAGTTCTCCTCCTTTAGTGGGACAGAGAGCTTGGAAGTTTACCGTTGCCTTTTCAAATTTAGGAAGTCTTTCCTCTGGAAGCCCGAGTAGTTAGAAAGGCTGGCTCTCTCAACTGGTCTGGTAGATAGCAGATAACTATGAATTGCGAACTTTCATTCCTGGGAAGCTTTTACGGTTTGGTAGTCAAGGGTTGGATAAGAAGGAGTAGGATGGGTAATGGAATCAAGATCACCTAGGATCCTTTGATCTTAATTTTGGGTAAGTTTTATTACCCGATAGCCTGGGCCTTCAGAGTAGTTAGCGTGGTTTATCCTATCCATCAGAGTCGGGTTGTTTTGTTTTGTTTTTTTCGTTTATTTATCTTGAGAGAGGCAAGAGTGGGGGAGTGGCAGAGGGAGAATCCTGATGTGGGGCTTGATCCCACAGACTGTGACCTGAGCTGAAGTCAAGAGTTGGACACAACTGACTGAGCCACCCAGGCACCCCAAGCTTATTTTCATGCCCCAGAATGTGATTCATATATTTGACCATGTCCAGAGGTATAGGTAGCTGTCAACTAATTAAGCATCCTAAATATTGAAGCTCCCTTTCCAAATAGGAAAAACTGGTATCTTCCTGCTCCAGAAGTTTCTCCAGGAAATCCTGCTCATTTCAGACTCGTGTCCAAAGAACAGACACCCTGGGATTCTATAAAGCTGACGTTTGAAGCAACAGGTAAGTCATAGGACATTTTTTTCTTCTCTCCTTCTCTTAAAATTCTTAATAAGTGTGTGTACTTTCTCTTTAAATAATAGTAACCACAACTCAGGAAGAACGTAGTGTCTGTAAAGGTACCTCAAGCAGATTAGTAATGATTTATTGAGGAAAATTAGACTTTATTTTTTTTAGAGCAGTTTTAGGTTCACAGAAAAACTAAGCAGAAAGTAGAGCTCCCCTCCCGCCACTTCCTTTTTTTTTTTTAATTTTTTTTTTTTTTAACATTTATTTATTTTTGACACAGAGAGAGACAGAGTATGAACGGGGGAGGGTCAGAGAGAGAGGGAGACGTAGAATCTCAAACGGGCTCCAGGCTCTGAGCGGTCAGCACAGAGCCCGACGTGGGGCTCGAACTCACAGACCGCGAGGTCATGACCTGAGCCAAAGTCGGACGCTTCACCGACTGAGCCACCCAGCCGCCCCCACCACTTCCCTTCTTAAGACCTTGCACTAGAGTGTGGGATATTTCTTAAAACGGAGGAGCCAGGACTGATCCATTGTTAATTATAGCCCCTGGTTCATATTAGGATTCGGTTCACTCTTTGTGTTGCATAGCTCTGTAGGTTTTGACAAATGTGTAATGTCACGTACCCCCGTATCAGATGGAGTAGATTCCCTGCCCTGAGAGTACCATGCACCCCCGGTCAGCCCTCTCCTCCCACCCCCTCTGGCAACCACTGATCTATGTTACTGCTTCTACTATTTTGCCTTTTCCAGACTATCTCGTAGCGGCAGTCATAAGGTTTGCCACCCTTTCAGGACAGCTTCTTTCATTTAGCAGACAGCCCTCCTGTCTTTAGGGGCTTGATAGGTCATTTCTTTTTAGTGCTGGATGGCATTGTGGATGTACCATAGTTTATCTGTTTACCTACTGCAGAACATCTTGGTTGCAGGTTTTTGTCTAGACATGTTTTCACTTCATTTGTTTTTCTTTAATGTGTGTTTTTGAGAGAGAGTGCATGCGTGCAAGTAGGGGAGGGACAGAGAGAGAGGGAGACACAGAATCTGAAACAGGCTCCAGACTCCGAGCTGTCAGCACAGACTCACGGGCTGTGAGATCATGACCGGAGCTGAAGTCGGACGCTTAACCGACGGAGCCACCCAGGCGCCCCTGACCTCATTTGGATAAAAACCTAGGAGTGCAGTTGCTAGATCATATGATAGGCTAGATTTACCTTTGTAAGAAACTGCCAGGCTCTTCCAGCATGGATGTACTGTCCTGCATTGTCACCAGCATTTGGTACTGTGTTTGGGACTTTGGCCATTCTGATAGCAACGTGGTGGCATCTTCTTGTTTCCATTTGCAATTACCTAATGACCTGTGAGGCTGAGCATCTTTTCTTAGGTTATTTGCCATCTGTGTGTGTCCTCTGGTGAGGTGTCTGTTTATTAATTGGGCTGTTTGGCTTTTTTCTATTGAAATTTAAGGGTTCTCTGTGTATGTGGATAGAAGTCCTTTATATCAGTAAGTGGTGTGCAAATATTTTCTCCTGGTCTGGGTTATCTTTTCATTCTCTTAACAGTGTTTTTCACAGATTGTAAGGCTTTAAATTTAATCAAGTCCAACACAATCAGTTTTTCTTTCATGGGTCATGATTTCGCTGTTACGTCTAAAGGTCATTGCCAAACCCAAGGTCTCTGGATTTTCTGTTATCTTCTGCAAGTTTAGTTTTGTGTTTTCTATTTAGGTCTATGATAGATACATTCTGAGTAAATTTATGTGTTTTTTGTGTGTTTTTGTTATAAGGTCTGTGTGTGGGATTCGACTTTTTTTTTTTCCTGCTTTGCATGTGGATTTCCAGTTGTTCCAGTACCATCTGTTGAAGACTGCCCAATCTCTCCCAAATGACCTGACCTTTGTCAGGAATCAGTTGACTGTATATGCGTGGGTCTATTTTGGGGCTTTCCATTCTGTTCTTACCTGTTTGTGTCTTTTGCCATCACGATGCTGTCTTGATCAAGTCTCGAAGGTGGGTGGTATCCATCCTGTCAGACTTTGTTCTTCTGCGATATACTGCTTGTCTTCGGTCTTTCCACGTATTAGTTTGCCCATATCCACAGTACAACATTCTGGGATGCTTAAATGGAAGCGCATTGAAATCTGCAGATCAAGTTGGGGAAAATGACATCTTAGGGGGGCCTGAGTGGCTCAGTCAGTTAAGCATCTTACTCTTGATTTCGGCTCAGGTCACGATCTCACAGTTCCAGGGTTTGAGCCCCGAGTCAGGCTTTGCGCTGACAGTGCAAAGCCTGCTTGGGATTCACTCTCTCCCTCTCTCTCTCCCCTTCCCTCACTGGTGCTTTCCCTCTATCTCAAAGTAAATAAATAAACACTTTAAAAAAATGACATCTTAATATTTTCTCCTGTGACGTGGAGTATCTCTGTTTATATCTCGTTTATTTTCTTTCATCAGAACTATATTTTGCAGTTTTCCTCATACAGATTCTATACAACTTCTGTTAGATTTGTACCTCAGTATTTCATTTTGGGGGATGCTAATGTAAATACGAGTTTTCATTGATGGTATGTAACCACGTAGCCTGCAACTCTGCCATCATTGTTTATTAGTTTCAGGAGATTTTTGGTTGATTCTTTGGGATTTTCTACATAGATGATCATGTCATCTGCAAACAAAGACGGTTTTATTTCTTCCTTCCCAAATCCGTTTTTGATCTTTTATTGCTTCTTCTCGTCTCACTGCATTAGCTAGGACTTCTAGTATTTTGAAAAAGACTGCTAAGAGGAGTAGTAAGTGTGGGAATCCTTGCCTTGCTCTTGCTCTTAGGGGGAAAGTGTCTACATTTTTACCATGATGTTAGTCGGCCCTTCATCAGGTTGAGGAAATTCCCCTCTATTTTTAGTTTGCTGAGCTTTGTGAATGGATTTTCGGTTTTGTCACATGTTTCTGTTTGCTGATATGACCATGTGATTTTTCTTTATTAGACTTTTGCTGTGATGGATTATATTAACTGGTTTTCAGAGGCTGGATCAATCTTGCATACCCGGAATAAATCCCACCTGGTTGTAGTATATAATTCTTTTTGCACATTGTTGGATTTGATTTGCTGATGCAGAGGATTGGTTCTGTGTCTCCGGAGCTCCGGAGAACTCGAACATAGGAAGTTCACTTTTGAAAGTTCGTGCTACTGTTCACTTGTATCATTCTTGAATTTCATATAAATGGAATCATCCAGTATGTAACATTCGGGGTCTGGGTCATTAGGCATAATGTTCTTGAGATTGAGCTATGTTCTTTTGAGTATTAGTATTTTATTCCCCACAAGTAGTGTATGAGAATTCCAGTTCCACATTCACTCTAGTATTTTCTGTTCTTTCCATCGTACCATTTCTGACGGGCATTTAGTAGTAGCCCTTGCATTTCTCTGTAAGTCATGACGTGGAACATGCTTCCAAGTGCTTACTGACCATTCAGGTATCTTGCTTTTGTGTCTTCATTTCTTCTTCCCTTCTAAAACTTGGGCTTACTGATTTATAGGAGTGCTTATGTTCCAGATCAAAATCCTTTATCATATATATATATATATTTTATCTAGATGTTCTCGTCCATTCATTTTTTTTTTTTTATTAAAGTTTATTTATTTTGAGAGAGACAGAGACCAGCGTGAGTGGGGGAGGAGCCGGGAGAGAGAATCCCAAGTAGGCTCCATGCTGCCAGCACAGAGGCCCAGTGTGGACTCAAACCCACGAAGCTGTGAGGTCATGACCTGAGCTGAAACCGAGAGTTGTACACTTAACCAAATGAGCCACCCAGGTGCCCCATGTCCATTCATTATCTTAAAGGAGTCATTTGATGTGTACAAGTTTTAAATTTTTGTGAATTCCAATTTACCAGGTTTTTCTTTACAGTTAATACTTTATATGTCCTCTCTAAAAAATTCTTGCCCACCGGAGGTCAACAAAGATAGATTCTGATGTTTCCTTCTAGAAGCTTCATAGCTTTAGCTGTTACATTTAGGTCTGTGATATACTTTGAAATAATTTTTGTGTATGATGTGAGGTAGAAGCCAAGGTTCTTTTTTTTAAAATGGATATCCAGTTGTTCTAGCATTATCTGTTGAAAAGACTTACCTTACCCTATTGAACTGCTTTGGCATCTTTGTCCAAGTTAATTGGATTGTATACCTCAACTTTTGCCCACTTTTTACTGAGCTTCCTCGCCCACTAGTAGGTTTCATTTTTGTATTTTTTTGATGACTGTGACCATTTTATTTACACTAAAGAGTAAATAATTTATGTGCTAAGGCATAGTTTAACTCAGAAGGGACTTGAATATCTAGTATGCAAAGAAAGCTGGAGGACAGACACAAGATGGGAGAAGGGAAGTAATAAAACTTGGTTGTTAACCATGGAATGAAGTCCTTGCAGGGCATTCAGTGCCTTAGCTGATGCTTTCAATGGTGGATACTTTTGTTTTCTCTGGGCTTTTAAAATTTAATTGGAAATCAATTTATTTTGCACCAACCGGCTTTTTGTCATGCCAATAATTATTTCTGATTTTTAATCACCAGCTTGTAAAAAGGAAGCACAGAAAAATCCAAACCTTTCTCTATCCTTTATGCACAATTTGGAGAATTCCAGTAAAATTTAGGTTCCTGGCAGGCAAGTTGCACATCTACTGCCCTATATTTTGTGATTACAAATGTCAAGAAATCAGAAAAAAATTGACTGTGTGGGTCTGTGTACCAGTTACCGTATTTTTAGTTATAGAAGCTTTGCAGCTTAATGATCATAAGGGTGAAAATCCATTGTATTTTTTGTTATTATTTTCCTTGCTATTTTTGTTTGTTTTCCATATGAACTTCAGTATTAACCTAACTGATATAAAATTTATTACTAATTGGTGTTTTGGGGGAGTATCATAGTAAGTTTATAAAGTAAGGAGAACTGACCTAATTTTTTCACCCTGTCCATGAACTAGCAATGCCTTTTCACATGTTCATATCTACTTCTGTCTTTCCTAAGTGTTAAAAGATTTTCCTCATCTAGTTTTTGTGGCTGTCATAATTGGAATTTTCTGTACCTTTATGTTCTCTAACTGGTTATATTTGTTGGCGTAAAGGCAGCTGGTTTCTGTAGGTCAAATTTGTATCTTTGCTACCTCACTGAATCTTTCACTTTTTGCGTTAATCATCACTCCTCTAGAGTTCTCCAGGTTTACTAGGAATTGCCAACCTTTAAATGGCCAGATACTATTTTAGGCTTTGCCATATGTCCCCAACGTAGACTTTTTTGTTAACTACTGTTTAAATACGTAAAAAACATTCTTAGCCTGTTAGCCTTACAAAAACAGACCAAGTATATAGCGTATTGACTACAGCGTATCGACTGCAAATAGTCTTTCTTTCTTTACCAGTTCCTAGGCCCATAACTGATGTGTCTAAGTGGCTGATGGTGTGGAGCAGCTGTGGATGTAGTGAGCAAGCGTCCTTGTTTTACTTAGAGCACAGGTCTCATGTGTTTCCCAACATGTGAGAGACTAGCCTTAGGCCTGGGGTGTATATTTTGTATCCTGTTAAGCAAGCGTTTATCAACTGTCATTTCTTGAATGTTTTTATAAGGAATTGGATTTTAATTTTAGAAAAGTTTTTTTTTTTTTTTTATTCTTTATTTTAAAAGCATCTGTCTAGGGTTTTTTCTTCCTTGGGTCTTTTAACGTGGTTTATTCCACTAGGTTATGGCTTATTTTCTTAATGTGATGTTGGATTTTGTGTGCTACAATTTAGATACTTTCTGTTAATACTCCTGATACTGGTCCATGTCTGTTTATTTTTTTGGTTCTCTTTAATCAGATTTAGTTATATGTTACCCATAAATGTATAAACGTGATAAAAATGGTAAGTCTTCCTTAATTTCCAGTGCCTCGGAACAGTTTAGGAAGCATTTGAACTGGCTAAAAAGTTGACTTAAATTCCTCTCTGAAACCATCTGGGCATGGTGTTTTTTCGTGGGGGGTAGTTTCCTAACTTTTTCTTGGGAAATTCATCTAAGATTTATCTCTCTCTTGTACAGTAGAAGAGAGTACAGTAATCTGTTTTCCTTAAAAAGTATCCACATTTCATTTGGGTTTCCAAATTTAATAGTACAGAGGTCTGCTTGTAGTCAACGTGTGATTTTAAACATTTCTTCTGGGGGTGCCTGGGTGGCGCAGTCTGTGAGGCGTCCGACTCCAGCCAGGGCTCGATCTCGCGGTCCGTGAGTTCGAGCCCCGCGTCAGGCTCTGGGCTGATGGCTCGGAGCCTGGAGCCTGTTTCCGATTCTGTGTCTCCCTCTCTCTCTGCCCCTCCCCCCTCCCCCGTTCATGCTCTGTCTCTCTCTGTCCCAAAAATAAATAAACGTTGAAAAAAAAATTAAAAAAAAAAAATTTCTTCTGTTTATTTTTCTTACTCTTTTTGTATACTTGTGTTTTCTCAGCTCCACTCCCCTTCCCGTCTCTTTCTTAACCAAGTTAGCTAGTAGAGTTGTTAATAAAAAAATCTAATTTTTAGAATTAAGTTAGGTCTGTTTATTTCTGGTCTCTACTTTCCTGATTTCTTCTTATCTGTAATATTTGTTTTCTGTTCTCTTTGTTGTACTATTTTATAAAAAAATGTTTATTGCTATGGATTTTCCTCATCACTGCTTTTCATTGTTTACAAAAAACTTGTGATTTTTGTTCAGATTTCCTTTTTCTCCTAGAAGTCTTTTAATTTTCAGGTAGAAAGCTATTTTGTGTTATTTGTAATATGTGTTATGAAATGGATGCTTTCCTTCCTAAGTTAATATTTTGAGTATTTTGTGTCCCCTTTAGAAGATATGTTCTGTGTTACCAGCTTGTAAAGTTTGATGTGTATATATATCCATATAATCTACTTCACTGATCTTTTTTTGTTCAACTGATGTCTTGTACTGACAGTGGAGTGTTAGTTTCCTATTTGTAGTCTTCCTATATACGTAGGTATCTTTCTGCATCTCCTGTATTTTGCTTCAAGTAGTTGCTGTTACTTAATGCACAGGATTCACAATTTTGTGTCATTGTGAATTAAAACATTTAGTATTAAAAAGTGCCTTTTTACATTTAGTGCTTTTGTCTTGAATCCTGG